ACTTACTATTGATGGGGGCAGATGGTAATGGAAGATACTGAATACTGTTGGAAGCTGAACCTGATGTTACCCTAACATGGGTGATGGAATTAATAATCTAGTTGAAAGACGTCACAGAAGACACTATATGGATTATAAATTTAAAGTCATTTGAGGATTTTATTTATATATGGAAATATTTTTAGCTGTGTGGTGCGGGCAGAAGAACAAAGATATTAAAAATATTATGTATGGTAGACCTGTAGGAAAAAGGGGTGCAGATGGGTTAGGTTACTGATTGTTTAGTTTAGGAAAAGGGATGTTATGTTTAGATATAAATATACGTAAAAGATTTGAATTAGGAGATATATGTATGGGGGAGGAAATGGGTAGATTATAAATTGAGTAAATATCAAATTAGGATTTATTATATAGTTTTATAGCTGAAGGTTGCTTTGAAATGTATAGTATAGGGGAGATATAATGACAATGTTAGAAAGAAATGGTTAGCATGTGGGGGGTGGTGTAAAAGGATGGTAAAGTATTATATAATTTGATATCAATCTGGATTTTATTTTTGGAGAAGCCATGGGGGGTGGGGAGGGTGAGGGGGGGTTAGGGAGGAGGAGGGGAAAAAGGGGGAAAATTTGTATCTGAAAAACTTTTTCAATAATAAAAAAAAAGAATGCTGCAACCGGCATAAATGATGAGCGGTCGTAAGTGCGAGGACCAGTCAAAAGTGCGAGGACTGGTCAGAAATCACTTTTTCAGTCCTCTCAGTAGTCCCTATGCACATAGCCATGGCGACCCGGTCACATGACCTGCAAGCCACGCCCACCCGGTCACATGACTGCTAGCCATGCCCACCCAGTCTCATGACCAGCTAGCCACGCCCACCTGGTCACATGACCACCAAGCCACGCCCCCCCAAATAAGCCATGTCCACAGAACCGGTTGATAAAAAAGTTGAATCCCACCACTGCTTATAGACACAAATCAGGGTGGGTTCTACTTACCTTTACTACTGGTTCGCAAAAGGATGGGGCTTCTACGCATTCGCAGATCGCTGATGATGACATCTGGGACAGTGGGCGGGGACTCCTTCTGGTTTTACTACTGGTTCTTGTGAACCGGTCCGAACCAGGGACAACCCACCACTGATACAAATGCTACACAGCAATCCAGAAGATTTTAAAGTTTCTCTCCATGGAACTCAAAACAACTTCACTTCTTCACTTTACCTTAGCAGTCCAATCTCTATAATCCATACTGGGAAACCATGTTCGGTTTACAAAAGAAAACTGTATTTGATCACAATATGACTTAAATTTTACTTTGTGAGTTGAGTGGACCCAACTTGCCTAGCTGAAAAAGTGTTCCTTGATGGTAGCTGGGATTTTCCACAAAATAAACTATGGTTTAAGAAACTATCAGATAGCAAACATTTTAATTCAAAGGTACTAGCTTTTTTAACCTCTCTAATAAGTGTCCTTAAATGGGACTAAAGTGTCCATTTATTCCGTATAACTAAAACCTTTTGGAAGTGTAGTGAAATTTTCAAGCCTTTTTTGTAGTTAATGTACAGTAAACTGACTCTTTTATCTATTAACTCAAGGGAAAAAAAATGTCCAAACCTTTTCTTAGGACTAGAATGTTGATTACAAAATGTAGATGTAAGTTATATTCTCCGAAATGTCTTTTATCCCAACAGATATGTAAATTCAGACACAATTTCCCCTTTAAAAGAGCCCCATGGTTTCCCTCTTCAGACAACACCCACCAACCTAAACCTTGTGCTATTTGCTGAATCCTCTCTTTTCGATTCCCTTCACTCATTAGAGGGAGCAAAAATGTGGCTAAACCTCGTGTCCTTACTAGTACTCCTAAAAGGTAATTATTGCCTCGTATAGAGTTTATATCCATGTTCTGCTCCTCTATGCAGGAAATCTCATTTAAAAAAAAAAAAAACCACTTTTCTTTTTAGGAGTCCAATCTCAAGTGCAGCTGGTGGAGTCTGGAGGGGATATGAGAAGACCTGAGGAGTCCCTCCGTCTCTCCTGCCAAGCCTCTGGATTCACCTTCAGCAGCTACAGAATGAGCTGGGTGAGACAGGCTCCAGGGAAAGGTCTGGAATGGGTTGGATTCATCTATACTGATTCCAGTTCAATCTACTCAGACAAAGTCAAGGGCCGCTTCACTATCTCCAGGGACAATGCCAAAAGCCAGCTGTATCTGCAAATGAACAGCCTCAAAGCTGAAGACACGGCAATTTATTACTGTGCAAGAGACACAGTGAGAGAAAGTGAATCTGAAGCCAAACAAAAACCTTCCTTTCTCCAGAGCACTTCTTCAACTTGTCTAAGCCGCCAATCCTGGGATATCAATGAGGGTTGATTATTGTCGAGTGAGAACTTAAGAAACTTTGGGTGTAGATCACGATTCTTCATGCCCCTCTGTCTCACACTGCCTCCTTTACGTCTGCCATGGTCATCCCGGTGTCATCCTTTATATTGTCCACTCAGTGGGTACGAGAGTGGCCCTTCTTCTTTTTCCACTCATCATTCCCAGCATGATTGATTTTTTTGAGTGAATCAGCTCTTGCGACATGATCAAAGCATGATATGTGTTTGTTGATCCTGGCTTGCAGTGATATTTTTGATGAGGTTTAGTCTAGGACATCTCACTATTATTAGAAAAGGGGTGTTATAAGAAATTGCTTAACACATTGTGAGCCGCCCTGAGTCTCCGGAGAAGGGTGGCATATAAATCGAACCAATAAATAAATAAATAAATTGGGGGTCAATCTATTCTACAAAGCCCCTGAAGGCAGAACAAGAAGCAAGGAGAGAAGTCATCTAGAACTAAGGAGAAATTTCCTGACAGTGAGAACAATTAATCAGTGAAATAGATTCCCTCCAGTAATTTTTCAACTTAATTACATTTTTTAGTTAATGCACAGTAAACTGACCCTTTCTCTTATTAACTCAAAGACAAACAATGTGTGTAAGTCTTTTCTTAGGGCTGCAGTGTTAACTACAAAATGCACATTTAAGCCATGTTCACAGAAGTGTGTTAGTCAAGGGCTCTTTTATCCCAACAGATATGTAAATCGAGGCATAATTTCCCCTTTAAGGGAGCCTCATTTGTTTCCCTTTTCAGACAACTCTAACCAAAATAAGCCTTGTGCTATTTCCTGAACCCTTCCCTGTCATTTCCCTCCATTCACTACATAGGAGCAAAAGTGTGGTTAAATCTTCTGTCCTTACTAGTACTCCTCAAAGGTAATTATTTCCTCTGTGGAAAGTTTATTTCCATGTTCCATGTTGTCACATGGAATCCCATTGTCTAGGCACCTGATGGGGGAGGGGAAGGGAATTTAAAAACTGTCATTAGATATTGTCTCATTGTCAAAGTCAGATAATATTTTTTTTATTTTATTTCTGTAATAATTCACTGTCATTAGGGCAAAGAAGCGATGCCACATGACCACCTGGCCACACCCACCCGGTCACATGAAGCACTGCAGTTGTGAAATGAGTGACACGGTTGTTAAGAATGCTGCAATGGGCATAAACGATGACCGATCATAAGTTCGAAGACCGGTTAAAAGTGCGAGGACCGGTCAGAAATCACATTTTTCATCCTTCTGGGTAGTCCCTATGTGCATAGGAACTAATCAGAGGGCTGAAAAAGTTGTTTTAGACCGGTCCTCACGCTTTTCACTGGTCCTCTCACTTACGACTGTCCTCACATTTTATGTTTTGCGCCCTATCTTGTCACCATGGCAAAGAGAAGTAGTTGTGAAATGAGTGACACGGTTGTTAAGAATGCTGCAATGGGCATAAATGATGACCAGTCATAAGTGCGAGGATAGGTCAAAAGTGCAAGGACTGATCAGAAATCACTTTTTCAGCCCTCTGAGTAGTCCCTATGCACATAGCCACGCCCACCCAGTCACATGACCAGGTAGCCACGCCCACCTGGTCACAAGACCACCAAGCCACGCTCCCCAAATAAGCCAGGCCCACAGAACCGGTTGTTAAAAAAGTTGAATCCCACCACTGCTTATAGATACAAATCAGAGGTAGGTTCTACTTACCTTTACTACCAGTTCGCAATAGGATCGTGCTTCTATGCATGCGCAGATTGCCGATGATGACATCTGGGGCAGTGGGCGGGGCTTCCCACCAGTTTTACTACCGGTTCTTGCGAACCGGTCCAAACCGGGGGCAACCCACCACTGGTACAAATGCTATACAGCAATCCAGAAGATTTTAAAGTTTCTCTCCATGGAACTCAAAACAACTTCACTTCTTCTTCACTTCACTTTAGGAGTCCAATCTCTGTAATCCATACTGGGAAACCATGTCTGGGTTTACAACAGAAAACCCAGAGCATACGGAATCTTTCGGATAATACAAAGAGAATTATTTATCATTCTCTTTGAATTGAGAGACTGTATTTGGTCACAATATGACTTAAGTTTTACTTCGTGAGTTGAGTGGACCCAACTTGCCTAGCTGAAAAGGTGTTTCTTGATGGTAGCTGGGATTTTTCATAAAATAAACAATGGTTTAAGAGGCAATCTCATAGCAAACATTCTAATTCAAATGTCCTAGCTTTTTTAATCCTCTCTAATAAGTTTCCTTAAATGGGACTAAGCGTCCATTTATTCCCTATTACATAAAATCATTTTAAAATATAGTGAAATTATTCAAATCTATTTTCTAGTTAATGTACAGTAAAATGACTCTTTTATCTATTAACTCAAGGAAAAAAATGTGTCCAAAACTAAAATCATTTGGTAGTAGTGAAATTTTCAAGCCTTTTTTGTAGTTAATGTACAGTAAAGTGACTCATTTATTTATGAACTCAAGGAAAAAAATGTGTCCGAAACTTTTCTTAGGACTAGAATGTTGATTTCAAAATGTAGATGTAAGTTATGTTCACTGAAATGTCTTTTATCCCAACAGATATGTAAATTCAGACCCAATTTCCCCTTTAAAAGAGCCCCATGGTTTCCCTCTTCAGACAACACCCACCAACCTAAACCTTGTGCTATTTGCTGAATCCTCTCTTGTCAATTCCCTCCATTCATTAGAGGGAGCAAAAATGTGGCTAAATCTTGTGTCCTTACTAGTATTCCTCAAAGGTAATTATTTCCCCCGTATAGAGTTTATTTCGATGTTCTGCTCCTCTATGCAGGAGATCTAAGAGAATACCTGGAGAGTCCCTCCGTCTCTCCTGCCAAGCCTCTGGATTCACCTTCAGCAGCTATTACATGAGCTGGGTGAGGCAGGCTCCAGAAAAAGGACTAGAATGGGTGGCATCCATAAGCTCTGGTTCTAGTACTTACTACTCAGACAAAGTGAAGGGCCGCTTCACCATCTCCAGGGACAATGCCAAGAGCCAGCTGTATCTGCAAATCAACAGCCTCAAAACTGAAGACACGGCAATTTATTTCTGTGCTGGAGACACAGTGAGAGGAAGTGAATCTGAAGCCAAACAAAAACCTTCCTTTCTTCAGAGCACTTCTTCAACTTGTCTAAGCCGCCAATCCTGGGTTATCAATGAGGGTTGATTATTGTCCAGTGAGAATTTAAGAAAGTTTGGGTGTAGATCACGACTCTCCATGCCCCTCTGTCTCACACTGCCTTCTTTAGGTCCTCCATGGTCATCCCGGTGTCATCCTTTATAGTGTCCACTCAGTGGGTGCTAGAGTGGCCCCTTCTTCTTTTTCCACTGATCATTCCCAGCATGATTGATTTTTTTGAGTGAATCAGCTCTTGCGACATGATCCAAATATGATCTGTGTTTGGTGATCCTGGCTTCCAGTGATATTTTTGATGAAGTTTAGCCTAGGACATATTATTATTATTATTAGAAAAGGGCTGTTATTGGGAGTCAATCTATTCTACAAAGCCCCAGAAGACAAACAATGTGTGTAAGCCATGTTCACAGACGTGTGTTGGTCAAGGGCTCTTTTATCCCATCAGATATGTAAATCGAGGCATAATTTCCCCTTTAAAAGAGCCCCATGGTTTCCCTCTTCAGACAACACCCACCAACCTAAACCTTGTGTTATTTCCTGAATCCCCTCTTATCACTTCCCTCCATTCATTAGAGGGAGCAAAAATGTGGCTAAACCTTGTGTCCTTACTACTACTCCTCAAAGGTAATTGTTTCCCTCCGTATAGAGTTTATTTCCATGTTTTGCTCCTCTATGCAGGAGATCTCATTTAAAAAAAAAAAAAACATTTTCTTTTTAGGAGTCCAATCTCAAGTACAGTTGGTGGAGTCTGGAGGGGATGTGAGAAGACCTGGAGAGTCCCTCCGTCTCTCCTGCCAAGCCTCTGGATTCACCTTCAGCAGCTATGGCATGAGCTGGGTGAGACAGGCTCCTGGAAAAGGACTGGAATGGATTGCACATATTTGGTCCGATGGCAGTAAGCAATTCTATGTAGAGTCTGTCAAAGGACGCTTCACCATCTCCAGGGACAATGCCAAAAGCCAGCTGTATCTGCAAATGAACAGCCTCAAAGCTGAAGACACGGCAATTTATTACTGTGCCAGAGACACAGTGAGAAGAAGTGTATCTGAGGCCAGTCAAGAACTTCTCACAGAGCAGCTCTCCAAATTGCCTCAGTCACAGATGGTTGAATTTGAATGAGAAGGGGTAAACAAATCTCCATGATACTATGTGGAAACTGAGAACTGACCTTGGAGTAAGCAGTGGGCAGCCTGGTTACCACTTTGGTACAGGAGAAAAAGAAATTTTCTGGTTAGTAGAATCAACTGGTTAGTTTATAAAAAGTTAAAGTTTAATTCTAGGTACTAAAATGGAATGTGTAATTCCTTGATATATTTTACAATTCAGGCACCTTTGATTCTTAGTGCTGCCAATTCTCCTGCATTTAGCTATTTTCTGTATTTTCCTTCCTTTTACAGTAATATATATTTGATGCCCTTAATCCTCAAGCTCTCTTCTGTCAGTTGGGTTGAATCAAGGGTGGAAGATATTGGTTATATCCAACCTCCTTTCCAAGAAGCCCTCTGAGATTAAATATTTGGGACTGTCTTCCTATCTTGATGTAGTTGCTTGGGAATTCCTGCTATAATCCCTCTAACTTCTTGGGGTGAGTAAAATTGCAATCCCTCCTCTACCTTGCTTAATAAGGAAATTAATGTGAGAAAGAATGTGGTGCCCTCATCCTTTACACCTTCACCATTTGACTAAGGAATATCAATCCCATAATGTCCACATCACAGAAATATAAAGGTAAAGGTAAAGGTTCACCTTGCACATATGTGCTAATCGTTCCCAACTCTAGGGGGCGGTGCTCATCTCCGTTTCAATGCTGAAAAGCCAGCACTGTCCGAAGACGTCTCCGTGGTCATGTGACCGGCATGACTTAATGCCAAAGGCGCACGGAACGCTGTTACCTTCCCACCAAAGGTGGTCCCTATATTTCTACTTGCATTTTTTACCTGCTTTCGAACTGCTAGGTTGGCAGAAGCTGGGACAAGTAACGGGAGCTCACCCCGTTAGGCGGCATTAGGGATTCGAACTGCTGAACTGCCGACTTTTCGATTGACAAGCTCAGCATCTTAGCCGCTGAGCCACCACTCAGAGCTATACACTTACTCAAATGAAATCACTCCCATTGAACTCTCTACTAATAATTAAACATGTCTGTCTGTACATCCTCTACAACCCATAAGAGAAAAACTGTTCTAAAGGTATTTTCCTACCATAAAACGAAAGTTGGGTTTTGGATGATTTAGTAAACCTAAAAAAATCTCCCTGATTTTCTTCTCTTTCCTTCCTGCCCCATAAAATTATTTTTGGAAATTAACTTTTTGTATCCAGTTTCTATTATATTTCTTAAAACATGCCTTTATGCACATGTAATCTCCATTATATTGGGTCATTTTTGAGCAGTGGTGGAATTTTTCAAATCTTCATTCTATGGATGACAACTCTCCATGCTCCTCTGTCTCACAGTATCTTTTTTAGGTCCGCCATGGTCATCCCAGTGTCATCCTTTATTGTGTGCAGTCAGCGGGTACTAGAGTGGCCTCTTCTTTTTATGCTGGTCATTCCCAGCATGACTGATTTTTAGAGTGACTCAATCCTCATGACATGCCCAAAGTATGACCTCTGTTTGGTGATCTTGGCTTCAAGTGATATTTTTGATGAGGTTTGGTCTAGGACTTATTATTATAATTATTATTATTCAATGGCTGTCAAAAAAGAACATGGGGTCACTCTATTCTACAAAGCTCCTGAAGGCAGAACAAGAAGCAATGGATGGAAATTAATCAAGGAGAGAAGCAATCTAGAACTAAGGAGAAATTTCCTGACAGTGAGAAAATTAACCAGTGGAACGACTTGCCACCAGAAGTTATAGGTGTTCCATCACTGGACATTTTAAAGAAGTGATTGGAAAACATTTGTCTGACATGGTATAGGTGACATAATAGCAGTGTTCCAATATCTCAGGGGCTGTCACAAAGAAGAAGGAGTCAATCTATTCTCCAAAGCACCAGAAGGCAGGACAAGAAGCAATGGGTGGAAACTAATCAAAGAGAGAAGCAACTTAGAACTAAAAAGAAATTTCCTGACAGTGAGAACTATTAATCAGTGGAACAACTTGCCTCCAGAAGTTGTGAATGCTCCGATACTGGAAGTTTTTAAGAAAATGTTGGATAACCCTTTGTCTCAAATGGTATAGGGTTTCTTGCCTGAGCAGGGGGTTGGACTAGAAGACCTCCAAGGTTCCTTCCAACTCTGTTATTTTGTTATTCTATTATTAATACTCAAAGGAAAATAAATGGAAAGTCTGCCTTGTATCAGCTTTCTTAAGACTGGAACACTATTTGAAAACGACATATGTAGGTCTGTTCAAAGAAATATGTAGATGAATGCACCGAGGAACTCTTTTATCCCAAGTGATATGTAAAGCAGAAAACAATTTCCTCTTTAAAGGAGTCTACTTTTTCCGTTTTCAGGCTACACCCACCAGCACAAAGTTTGTGCATTTCTCTGCATCTTTTCCTATTGATTCCCATCCATTGGTCAGAGGGAGCAAAAATGATTCTGTGGCTCAACTTGTTGTCCTTACTAACAGTCCTGAGAGGTCATTCTGTCTTCCCTAGTCAATTTTGTTCCATTTTAATTCTTGTATGCAGGAGAACTGACTCTAATATCTTTTTTTTTTTTTTTTAGGTGTCCAATCTGAGATCCAACTGGTGGAATCTGGAGGGGACAGGAAAAGACCTGGAGAGTCCCTCCGTCTCTCCTGCCAAATCTTTGGATTTGACATTAGTGGTTATTCCATGCAGTGGGTAAAACAGACTCCTGGGAAAGGACTGGAATGGGTGGCAGAGAGAAGCTATAATTCTGGTAGCATTAACTACTCAGACAAAGTGAAGGGACGCTTCACCACCTCCAGGGACAATGCCAAAAAACAGCTGTATCTGCAAATGAACCGCCTCAAACTGGAAGACACGGCAATCTATGACTGCACCATGTACACAGTGAGAGGAATTGAATCTAAAGCCAAACAAGAACATTCTATGCTTTGACTTGCAACTTTGTTCAGCTCCAGATCCTGGATTAATCAATGAGGACGGGTCACCATCTACTGAGAATTTGAAGTGTTTGTGTTTTTGATGTCCAATTAGGCCAGCAAAAACAATTATTGGAAGAAAATGAAAAATTTTCTTGAAAATTTGAAAATTCCAGTTTACATTCCTTGTTTACCTTGTTTACCAGGACTGGCTTCAAATAAAAAGAAAAAAGGAAGGGAGGGAGGGAGGGAGGGAGGAAGGAAGGAAGGAAGGAAGGAAGGAAGGAAGGAAGGAAGGAGAAAAAGAAGGAAGGAAGGAAGAAGAAAGAAAGAAAGAAAGAAAGAAAGAAAGAAAGAAAGAAAGAAAGAAAGAAAGAAAGAAAGAAGGAAGGAAGGAAGGAAGGAAGGAAGGGGAAAAAAGGAATGGAATGTGGTCTATTACTATAGAAATAGAGATAACACTTAGACTTATATACCGTGTTTCCCCGTGTTTCCCTGTCTTATATTTTTTTGAACTCTGAAATAAGTGCTTGGACTTATTGCCATGCACTCAAAAGCCCGATTGGGCTTATTATCAGGGGATGTCTTATTTTGGGGAAAACAGGGTACCACTTAATAGTGATTTACAGTCCTCTCTAATCACTTTACAGAGTCAGCATATTATCCCCAACAATCTGGGTCCTCATTTTACCAACCTTGGAAGGATGGAAGACTTAGTCAACCTTAAGCCAGTGAGAATCAAACTGTGGGCAGTCAGCAGAATTAGCCTGCAATAATGTATTCTAACCACATTGCCACCATGGCTCTTGGTGTGGCAAGATCAAATATCATGGCATTACCCCAGTAGTAACATATGACTGTGAGAGTTGGGCCATAAGGAAGACTTAGTGCAAAAGAATTCATGCTTTTGAACTTTGGTGCTGGAGAAGACTCTTGAAGAGACCTGTGGATTGCAAGGAGATCACATTAATCAGTCTTAAAAGAAATCCAATTTAACTGTTCTTTGGAAGGACAGTTCCTGAATCTGAAACTCAAGTACTTTGGCTACCAAATGAGAAGAGAGGATTCATTAGGAGAAATCTGTGATGTTTGGAGAGATTGAAGGCAAAAGGAAAGCAGAGGATGAGATGGTTAGACAGTGTCATTGACACAGAGAACAAGGTTTTGGGCAAACTTTGGGGGACAGTGGATAACAGGGGGCTGCTATCCTATGGTCCATGGGCTCACAGAGAGTTGGACACAACTTAGTGACTGAACAACAACAAGAACAAGAGTATCATGGAATAAGGCAAGAAATGAAAGTTTAGGTTGATGTTTTTGGCTATTAAAACTGCCATAACATATTGAGGAAACATCTGGACTAAAAAAATCTCCTTGGAGAATTAGGAAGATGTGTCCTAATAATCACTTTTGACACTTGGTGGCAATGTTGCCACGTGAAACTCCATTGCCCATGCACCCAATAAAGGTGGGGGAGGGAATAAAACAAGCATAATCAGATACTGTCTCATTTTTTTTGAGTCATGACCATTTCGTACGTTCTTTCTATTTAATATGTGTCCCCTTTAAAGGAGCCCCATGGTTTCTCTTGGGGAACTCTAACCAAAATAAACCTTGTGCTATTTCCTGAATCCTTCCCTGTCACTTCCCTCCATTCACTGCAAGGGAGCAAAAGTGTGGTTAAATCTTCTGTCCTTACTAGTTGTCCTGAAAGGTAATTATTTCCACTATGTAAAGTTTATTTCCATGTTCTGCTCCTCTATGCAGGAGATCTCATTTAAAAAAAACAACAACACACACTTTTCTTTTTAGGAGTCCAATCTCAAGTGCAGCTGGTGGAGTCTGGAGGAGATGTGAGAAGACCTGGGGAGTCCCTCCGTCTCTCCTGCCAAGCCTCTGGATTCACCTTCAGCAGCTATGCAATGTACTGGGTGAGACAGGCTCCTGGGAAAGGACAGGAATGGGTGTCATACATAAACTCCAATTCGGGTATTCTTAGATACTCAGATAAAGTCAAGGGCCGCTTCACCATCTCCAGCGACAATGCCAGAAGCCATCTGTATCTGCAAATGAACAGCCTCAAAGCTGAAGACACGGCAGTCTATTACTGTGCTACATACACAGTGAGTGGAAAGGAATCTGATGCCAGGCAAGAACCTTCCTTTCTTCAGAGCAGCTCCTCAACTTATTTAAACCTCAAATCCTGGTTTATCGATGTTTGATCATTGTCGAGTGAGAACTTGAAGAAATTTGGATGTAGGCATTAAAAAAGTTTGCTGTAACTAAAATAAAAAAAGTTCCAAGTCTACCAGTTGATTTGACTTCACTGGAATGAAATGTGCTTGTTTAAGTGTTGGGCGGAAGGGTGAAAAGGAAACCTTAGGATAATCCTTCTAACTATCCAAAGTGGCAAACACAAATTGGGGAAATACCTGCTCTGAAGGAATCTCCTTGGAGAATTAAGAAGATGTGTCCTGACTTCAGTTTTAACTCTGGAAGCCATGTTGCCATAGAAAATCCAATTGCCCATTTAGCTGGAGGGAATGTGCTAGGGAATAAAATATGTTTAAGTGTCAATTGTCTTTTTGGACAATTGTCTTCAATTGGCCAAAATTGGTTTTCAGTGCCAAAAATGGTCCTAAGTCACTTTTTTCAGTGCCATTTTAACTTCCGTCACTAAGAAAACTTTTGTAAGTCAAGGACGACCTGTACTTTATCACTTTTTTCCTTTTTCCTTTTTCTTTTCTTTCTTTCTTCCTTTTTTTTTTTGGTCATCAAGTTTTTGACACCTTGCTAGGTGATTGGTGGTACTCAAATATTGCTATAGCCAAAAAGTGGTACAATCTGCAAGAAGTTTGAAAAGCACTGTTCTAAACCTCCAAACTTCCGTTCTCACATTGAGGAAACATCTGCACCAAAAGAATCTCCTTGGAGAATTAGGAAGATGGGTCCTCTCCTCATTCTGGACACTAGAGGGCAATGTTGTCACATGGAATCCCATTGTCTAGGCACCTGATGGGGGAGGGGAAGGGAATTTAAAAACTGTCATTAGATATTGTCTCATTGTGAAAGTCAGACAATATTTTATTTTATTTTATTTCTGTAATAATTCACTGTCATTAGGGCAAAGAAGCGATGCCACCTGGCCACACCCACCCGGTCACATGAAGCACTGCAGTTGTGAAATGAATGACAAGATTGTTAAGAATGCTGCAATGATGATCGTAAGTGCAAGGTCGTAAATGCAAGGACCATTCGAAAGTGCAAGGACCTGCCAGAAATCACTTTTTTCAGCCCTCTGGGTAGTCCCTATGCACATAGCCACGCCCACCCGGTCACATGACCAGCTAGCCACACCCACCCGGTCACATGACCAGATAGCCACGCCCACCCGGTCACATGTCCACCAAGCCACGCCCCCAAATAAGACCTGCCCACAGAACTGGTTGTTAAAAAAGTTGAATCCCACCACTGCTTATAGATACTAATCAGGGGTGGGTTCTACTTACCTTTACTACCTGTTCAAAGCAGGATCGCGCTTCTATGCATGCGCAGATCACCAATAATGACATCTGGGACAGTGGGCGGGGCCTCCCCCCAGTTTTACTACCGGTTCTTGCGAACCGGTCCGAACCGAGGGCAACCCACCACTGGTACAAATGCTATACAGCAATCCAGAAGATTTTAAAGTTTCTCTCCATGGAACTCAAAACAACTTCACTTCTTCTTCACTTCACTTTAGGAGTCCAATCTCTATAATCCATAGTGGGAAACCATGTCTACGTTTACAACAGAAAACCCAGAGCAAACAGAATCTTTTGGATAATACAAAGAGAATTATTTATCATTCTGTTTGAATTGAAAGATGTATTTGGTCACAATATGACTTAAGTTTTACTTTGTGAGTTGAGTGGACCCAACTTGCCTAGCTAAAAAAGTGTTCCTTGATGGTAGTTGGGATTTTCCATAAAATAAACAATGATTTAAGAAACAATCTGATAGCAAATGTTTTAATTCAAATGTACTAGCTTTTTTTATCCTCTCTAATAAGTGTCCTTAAATGGGATTAAAGTGTCAGTTTATTCCATATTACTAAAATCATTTGGTAGTAGTGAAATTTTCAATCCTTTTTTGTAGTTAATGTACAGTAAACAGGCCCTTTTTCTTATTAACTCGAGGGGGGGGGGAAGTATCCAAAACTTTTCTTAGGACTAGAATGTTGATTACGAAATGTAGATGTAAGTTATGTTCACCGAAATGTCTTTTATCCAACAGATATGTAAATTCAGACCCAATTTCCCCTTTAAAGAGCCCCATGGTTTCCCTCTTCAGACAACACCCACCAACCTAAACCTTGTGCTATTTACTGAGTCCTCTCTTGGCAATTCCCTCCATTCATTAGAGGGAGCAAAAATGTGGCTAAACCTCGTGTCCTTACTAGTAGTCCTCAAAGGTAATTATTCCCTCTGTATAGAGTTTATTTCCATGTTCTGCTCCTCTATGCAGGAGATCTCATTTAAAAAAAAAAACACTTTTCTTTTTAGGAGTCCAATCTCAAGTACAGTTGGTGGAGTCTGGAGGGGATGTGAGAAGACCTGGAGAGTCCCTCCGTCTCTCCTGCCAAGCCTCTGGATTCACTTTCAGCAGCTATGGCATGCACTGGGTGAGACAGGCTCCTGGAAAAGGACTGGAATGGATTGCACGTATTTGGTTCGATGGCAGTAAGCAATTCTATGGAGAGTCTGTCAAAGGACGCTTCACCATCTCCAGGGACAATGCCAAAAGCCAGCTGTATCTGCAAATGAACAGCCTCAAAGCTGAAGACACGGCAATTTATTACTGTGCTGGAGACACAGTGAGAGGAAGTGAATCTGAAGCCAAACAAAAACCTTCCTTTCTCCAGAGCACTTCTTCAACTTGTCTAAGCCGCCAATCCTGGGTTATCAATGAGGGTTAATTATTGTCTAGGGAGAACTTAAGAAAGTTTGGGTGTAGATAACAACTCTGCATGCCCCTCTGTCTCACACTGCCTCCTTTAGGTCTCCCATGGTCATCCCAGTGTCATCCTTCATAGTGTCCATTCAGTGGGTGCTAGAGTGGCCCCTTCTTCTTTTTCCGCTGATCATTCCCAGCATGATTGATTTTTTTGAGTGAATCAGCTGTTGCGACATGATCAAAGTATGATCTGTGTTTGGTGATCCTGGCTTCCAGTGACATTTTTGATGAGGTTTAGTCTAGGACATATCATTATTATTATTAGAAAAGGGCTGTTATTGCGGGTCAATCTATTCTACAAAGCCCCTGAAGGCAGAACAAGAAGCAATGGATGGAAATTAATCAAGCAGAGAAGTAATCTAGAACTAAGGAGATTTTTCCTGACAGTGAGAACAATTCATCAGTGAAATAAATTCCATCCAGAAATTTTTCAAGTTTACTACATTTTGTAGTTAATGTACAGTAAATTGAACCTTTCTCCTATTAACTCAAAGACAAACAATGTGTGTAAGCCTTTTTTTAGGGCTGCAGTGTTAATTACAAAATGCACATGTAAGCCATGTTCACAGAAATGTGTTAGTCAAGGGCTCTTTTATCCCAAGAGATATGTAAATCGAGACATAATTTCCCCTTTAAGGGAGCCCCATGGTTTCCCTTTTCACCCACCAACCTAAACCTTGTGCTATTTACTGAATCCCCTCTTGTCAATTCCCTCCACTCATTAGAGAGAGCAAAAATGTGGCTAAATCTTGTGTCCTTACTAGTACTCCTCAAAGGTAATTATTCACCAGTATAGAGCTTATTTCCATGTTCTGTTCCTCTGTGCAGGAGATCTCATTTTTTAAAACACTTTTGTTTTTAGGAGTCCAATCTCAAGTGCAGCTGGTGGAGTCTGGAGGAGATGTGAGAAGACCTGGAGAGTCCCTCCGTCTCTCCTGCCAAGCCTCTGGATTCACCTTCAGCAGCCATGGCATGAGCTGGGTGAGACAGTCTCCTGGGAAAGGACAGGAAGGGTGTCATTCATAAATTAAAATTCGGGTATTCTTACATACTCAGACAAAGTCAAGGGCCGCTTCACCATCTCCAGGGACAATGCCAAAAGCCAGCTCTATCTGCAAATGAACAGCCTCAAAGCTGAAGACACGGCAGTCTATTACTGTGCTACATACAGAGTGAGTGGAAGTGAATCTGCTGCCATGCAAGAATTTTCCTTTCTTCAGAGCATCTCTTCACCTTGTCTAAGCCTCCAATCCTGGGTTATCAATCAGGTTTGATCATTGTCTAGTGAGAACTTGAAGAAGTTTGAATGTAGGCATTAAAAAAGTTTGCTGTAACTAAAATAAAAAAAAGTTCCAAGTCTACCAGTTGATTTGATTTCACTGGAATGAAATGTGCTTGTTTAGTGTTGGGCGGAAGGGTGAAAAGGAAACCTTAGGATAATCCTTCTAACTATCCAAATTGGCAAACACACAATGGGAAATACCTGCTGTGAACGAATCTCCTTGGAGAATTAAGAAGACGTGTCCTGACTTCAGCTTTAACTCTGGAAGCCATGTTGCGATAGAAAATCCAATTGCCCATTTAGCTGGAGGGAATGTGCTAGGGGAATAAAATATGTTTAAGTGTCAATTGTCTTTTTGGACAATTGTCTTCAATTGGCCAAAATTGGTTTTCAGTGCCAAAAATGGTCCTAAGTCACTTTTTTCAGTGCCATTGTAACTTCTGTGACTAAGCAAAGTTTTGTAAGTCAAGGACGACCTGTACTTTATCACTTTTTTCCTTTTTCCGTTTTCCTTTTTCCTTTTTCCGTTTTCCTTTTTCCTTTTTCCTTTTTCCCTTTTTCTTTTCCTTTTTCCTTTTTCCTTTTTCCTTTTCCTTTTCCTTTTCCTTTCCTTTTCTTTTCTTTTTTTCTTTTCTTTTCTTTTTTTTTTTTGGTCATCAAGTTTTTGACTCCTTGCTGGTGACTGGTGGTACTCGAATATTGCTATAGCCAAAAAGTGGTGCAATGTGCAAGAAGTTTGAAAAGCTCTGTTCTAAACCTCCAAACTGCCCTTCTCATATTGAGGAAACATCTGCACCACAAAAGAATCTCTTGGAGAATTAGGAAGATGGGTCCTCTCCTCATTCTGGACACTAGAGGGCAATGTTGTCACATGGAATCCCATTGTCTAGGCACCTGATGGGGAGGGGGAAGGGAATTTAAAAACTGTAATTAGATATTGTCTCA